CAACAATAAATCAAGGCAAGGAAATATCTTGAGGAGCCAATGGAAACTCAAAGTAAAAACATACCAACTGCCTGAAGCACAGAAAAACAGGAGTGACCAGGTTGTGATTGGTTTTAGTTTGAAATCTGATTGGTTGAGAAAAATGCACAGGTTTTCTGGACCAATCATATTATGAAATAAAGTAAAACCAAAGAAATTCAGGATTACTTTTAACACTCAATCCAAAATTGCTTTCAACACACAGAGCCTGATAAATGGATTTGAAAGTCAATAAGGAAACTAGGTTCATTTGTGGAGAAATAAAACACATAATAGGATGAGGTTTATGAATGACATATTCTGTTAGATGGTAAATTCTTACTTTGTCCAGTAATTTCTATGAGTTTGAGTCAGGTTGGAAAGGGCTGAGAAAAAAAAACTGTTCTACAGTTTATTACATTGTAATGGTAAAACCAAAAGTGTTGTTATCATGAAGAAATATAAAGAGCATCTTCCATATACCATGGTCCGTACAACTTCAGACAAAAAAAATTCAAGGAATTTTCAAGGACTTTTCAAGGACAAAAAATGGTTTTCAAGGACTAAGTTTTATTCATAAATCTAAACTCTTTGACCCCTTTTCATAACCAAAACACTCAACTTTGCATCACTTGACCATTTACGATTGAATACACATTTGCCCATCACTCAATTAAACTGAAAACAAAGGGAAATGAAAAATTCATCGACCAAAACATAGCCAAACCATGACATGTTTATGTTGCCCCTTAAAACAAAGGCATATGGCGGACTACCCCACATCAGAGGCCTTGTGCATGAAATCGAGGCACAGATCCAACTTTGCTTCATGTACCACTAACGTTTTATACTGACCATTTTCGCTTTTTGGAAATTACTAGTGGACAAATTTTCCGTAGCAAAATCGTTTAACTTATCCGAAAAGCGATAAGGCGCACAGAAGTTGCTAAATTTCAAGGACTTTTCAAGACCTACTAAAGAAATCAAGTACTTTTCAAGGACTTAACCAAATTCAAGGACTTTTCAAGACAACCGTTAAAATTCAAGACCTTTTCTAGATTGTACGAACCATGATATACTATGAATCAAATCTTACAGTTGGCCACATATTGATAATTGAAATGACCGTAATTTAATGGAAGGCAAAATCTAATTTCCTTTGTAAGTGCATGAATGTGATACAGTTTCAACAAGCAAATACCACCCTTCCCCCTTAAAAAATAAATTAATGAAATTGTTCATAGGTTTATATTACATCAAGCATAAGTACTAGTTGAAGAATACTAACAGTAATATAATTAATGTCACATTTGTAGGCATGGACCTAATCACAGTACCAAGCATTGTCACTACTCCTCAAAATAGGATCCTTGAAAGTATCATCTGCTTAGCAAAATGTTACCATGGAAACCACACCCATGTTTAAGAATGTCTTCCCTAGTAGTCCTTGGTATGGATATTAAAACCCAAACTACACTGTTAAGTTCCATTATTTCAGGATAAGAATGTATAGTGCCATTAAAACACAGGATAGTGCCACAGCCCAATGTAAACGAATTCCTAAAACCGCAGCTAGAGAGAAATGAACAAAAACATTTAATTCAAACAAACTTACTTTCCCTTCAGTAAACCAACAAAAATGTAACCATTACTATACTTTCACTACAGGAACTGCTTGTAACTCTTTTTTGTTGTGAACATAAAGGGGTGAGTTTTGGATTGAACCTAATTGTGCTTTGTAACTGTACTCTGTAAAGCTACTGTCCAAAAAAAAAAATAAATAAAGCTAGTAAGCATGAAAAAACAAAATGCAATACGGATAAGAACAATAGAAGGAAACATAAGTGGAAAGTAGAGGGTGATCAAAATGTTGCATATGTATGACAGATTGGACAGGGTTAGACTTCATCACAAGGTGATCACACTATTTTTCAAGCACAATTGCTACAGGAAATGATAGGTATTCAAGATAAACAAATGTTACGTTAGAGGCAACCACAAGCTAGAGAGAACTAAAAAAAAAATTGACAAAGCAATTAAGAAACCTTCTGTGATGTGTCTTTGGTTGTATACTGTACATGGAATTAAAAACTTCATGTTTTACCTTTATAAAATACACCAAAGAATCCCTTCTTTTCAGAGAGAAAGAATGACTTCAGCCTGGGGACTTTTGTTATATATGCACAAGTACAAATGATCAACAGTGCTAACACCAAAACACCATCAAAAGAGTACACTGAAGAAAAAGAAAACATAAACAAGAGAAAGAATTAATGTTTTTCTTATGGAACAACCTCCCTACCCTAGAGTGTAAATTTATTATGTTTACTTGTTACAGACTAGTATACTATTTATCTACTGGAAAAAAAATGTCCGTTTTAATTGGACAAAAGGTTCCTGGTCACCAATCCTAGAAACAGGGATGAGATCCATAATAAAGTTGAGAAAATATCCTGAACTACCTTTTCCAAGAAGCTAGCCCTCTTTTGCATTTCAAGAGGCAAACATTTGGAATAGTTACAGGAAATATCTCAAAATCATACAGGATAAAATTTTAAGGATACAAACAATGTGCTTGTGGCTAGAGACCCCTATTGCAGATTTGGACCCCCTTCAAAACTTTTTTTTTTTCATTTTCTCTCCATCTTGAATTTATCTTGTTTAATAAAGTAAACTTTTTGTCAAAGCTCTTTGAATCTGGACCAAGAATTTCATAATAATTTTTAAGTGATCAAAATAACCAGGTCCCCATTGTTTGCCATTACGCCATAAGGACTTGCATCATTATCAAGTGCATCATCCTGGTAGGAACACTATACTGTCAATACCTATACTTTATTACACGACTCGGGAAGTCAGAGAGCCAATAACTAAAATCAACCAATCAAAATGCTCTATTGCCGGTCAATATTCTCTCAGTATTGGACCAGGCGCTGTCCCGAATGGTCCCGAATGATGCCGCACTTGTGTCCCTTTGAACTTCAGTCGAGTAAGAAATCTCTTATTAACCAAGCTTGCTCGGGACCGTACTGGAAGAATATCGGCCCTTGGTCTTTTTTGTACGGAACGAGCGCAGCTCGGTCCGTACTGTCAAGACCTCGGGCTGATATTCTCCCAGTATGGCCCTTGTGCTTGGTTAATAAGATATATATATATATATATGGTAAAAAGAACTACTGAGCATTATAAGGGATAATAACTTTGATTGTATAATTTGCAGTGTGTGAGTAAATATCTTCGTTGTTTGGGCCACAGGAATTCTGAAATCTCTATATTAAAGAAACTCGAAAAGACACAAAACACAATAATCGGTGACAATGTACAACTGGTAGTAAATATGAAGGTTAACTATGTGAATGTTTTTTAATCTGTAGTTCAAAATGAATTTAGGTCAAATGATTTCACTCTTGTTTAATTTGAATAATTATTTTCATTGTTCCAAGGAAATAAAAAAAAAAAAAGGTTGAAATCACTTAAACTGAACTGAATTCTGTTTAAATCTCAACATTGCATAGAAAGACGAGTGCAAGTTACATACACGAATGACTAAGTGATGTTGTTCCACATATACAAACAGATGTTTCTTCTCTTGCCAAGTCCACTGCAGTGAGTCCATCTTGGATTGATGAAACTTACACAAGTCATGCTTTACTACTAGCAGTCCATCAGGCCTTGGTTGTTTAAAGAGTGGAAAATGCTATACTCTGGATAAATCTCTATCTAGTGTAGAGCACAGGATATTTGGCTTACAGTTATCTGCTGGATATCAATCTATCAGTTGGGTAGTGTTACCCATTCATTACCCACTCATTAAAAAACTTGACTCTGAAAGCTTACTTCACATCATATCAAGTGGCTGGTCTTTGTTTACCTGATACTAGAAGAGATTTTGTACTGAAATGACACTTTTACTTCAATGTGCAATCTGGTTCACAGTTGTGCACTGTTGAAACTCACTCCAATCTGCCAATTTTCTGGTTCTATCGGGTACACAAATACAAAGCTACGAGAGGAAATTGAGGAGGTCTTATTTCATACAGATTTTGCTTACTGCAGCTCCCTAAAACCCCTCACTACTAAAATTCATTAATTTAAAGATGCGAAGGCGTCATTTCCCCTTCTTTGCAGATGATCCAAAAGGTGATGCTGTTCCAAAACTTTACTGAACTATCCTCTGGTTACAAAAAAATGTGCCTATATTTACTTTTAACGAATAAGTAGCAAAAAAATAATCGAAAGACCCAAATAGCTCTTGAAGACAATTGGTAAACACGACATGCCAAACATTTAATTTGATGAGTTTATATCGACGAGCGCTATAATGTGTGTGAATAAAATAAACCCTACAAAGGTAGATTTATCATAGCTACATGAGAGATAAAATTAAAAAAACGTTCACTATGTTTTGGTCGAGAGTTTACTCAAGGTTTAAAGGACTTCGAGTGAATTTCCATATTTCAAGTTGCCACGTCCGTACATATCATCTATCAAATCAGGTCAACACAAACTCGGATTTTGGACAAGTAATTTTAGCTTAAGTGTAGTATGAATTAATCAAATACCTTACCATTCATTTTAAGTCAACATTATCGTCCCATATGAAGGCTGTATTCGATTATTTCGCTTGCCATGTAACTCGGAATCCTTCCGTCTTCCCTTGAACAAGTCCACAAACCGCGCGATACTGGGACTAGGAAAGTGATGAGTGGGGAGTTTTTCCACTCACATACAATAGGTGACAATTGCAACTTGATTTTAACTTTCTTCTAAAAAATGTTAGTCCTACTCAAGGTTGTCGAAAATAATTTAAAGAAAACGTTTTGTTTTATCTTTGGTGCAACGAGGCAGTTTTTGGTCTCCAAGTTCCTTAAAATTTGCTGTAAAACAAACTACTTTCTATCCCCTCCCTTAAGACAACGTAAGGGACTTGACCTCGATCACGTTTTGTACGGAGATCTTTACGTCATCGCCGGCTATTTCTTCTTCCCACTTGTTGGGTTAAGGTGTACAAATTCTTCTCCCGATGAATTTTCGAAGGCTTCAGCCTAAAAACACGTCTAGCTATAGTTTTATCGCCAGAAAAAGAAGAAGTATACGAAAGAAAACATATTTTGTGGTAAAATAACACACGAGGAAGAAATTTCAACGTTTGATTCCTGAAAGCAATATGCCCAAAGGAGACTCGAAGGGCAAAGGGAGTCGCGGAAAACGCGGACAGCAACCCAGAAAGAGAGGTGTGCTTTTGAGAGTGTAGCCCTTTTAATTCTATTGTTAATAATATAGGACAATCAAAATTGTTTGTTCAAATTCTAGATCGAATCTGGTCTAAGCAACCCCTTTTTTACTGCGATCTTTATTTTTTTTTTACGCCGTGTCGAGGAAATCAACAGTAGTTACGCGCCGTTCTTCATTCATTCATTCGCCTTGTTTCCGATCGATTTGATTAACCTCGTCCCTTTGTAATGTGAGATTTTACTTGTCTACTTGCTCTGTAGGAAGAAGAGGAGGCGAAGACAGTGATGAAGAAGATTTTGAAAACCAAAGTGTGGCGAGTCATACCTCAACACAAGACACTCGCAGCGGAGACGAAGGTTTGACTGTTTTCAACAACACGTGAGAAGCTAGTGCTTCTACGGCTTCTGGGAAGTGGTTATGATGTACTTATTTACTTCAGCATTGTTTAATCTAATGATGGATTTTTTGTAGCTGATTGTTTCGACGAAGGAGTTGAAGAGGACATTGAAGACGATTTCGAGCATACCCTTGCTGAAAATATTGATGGTGCAACTCAGAAAAGGTACTTTGTTTAAGGCGTCATTGTTTTTAATTTTCACATGATTGTTTACGCTTCGATTTGTTGCCCTTATGCACGGCTCAAGTTAACTGAATATTTGAATGAGGTTGTACGCGCTTTTTCGCTGTCTATGTGGATAAAATAGTTTTATATTGCTTTGCAGCGATGAGGAACATGGGAATTCGTTCGGGAGAAAGCGTCTGTTTCGAACCGAAACTTGTGGCACAGTGATCATTGAATAAAACTTTTTCGCTTTCTGTTAAAGCCTAGAAGCAAGTTTTCGTTCTTTCTCTCGATAGTTAACTTTATTTGGTTAACCAAAAATTGTAGAAATAGAACTCTGTTTATTATTTCAGGTCTATTTTTGCTTTTGATGTAATCTTGTTAGAAATACAAATGAACGATCTAATAATTCCCGCTCCAACAACCAGAGTTGTTCTGAATTTATTGGTCAGTTTCGATAATTCCCGCTAAGCTTATGGATTTCCTTTCCACCCTGATGTTTTCATATTGCAACACCATCCAACATTTGAGAGCCGTTGTTGTGCTTACGTAACAAGCTTCATCCTTCATTGTTCAAACCGAAGCTTATAGAACGAGTAATATTTTGTGTAGCAACCTGAAGTAAAAACTTTCATCATTTTCAAATATAGCAATAGCTTGTACTTGTAAAAGGGGTGGGGGTTAAATACTACAAGGGGGTAGTCTATCACACAAGTTCCGGTTAAATAGACAATTGTCTAGCTGATTTATGATACGACCCGTGGAAAATTTTCAATTGTGCTCGGCTAACTGAGCAGGGATGTTTTTAAACGAAGCTGCTATTTTAGTTTTTGAGACGTAGTCATAGGATTGAATTAGATGTGTGACTGTGGGGCTAAGAGCAAAGCATGTCTAAATAGTCTTACTAAAAGAAATGTATTTTGGTATACAGACTACCAGGTCTGTTGATTATTGTAGCATGCAATCTTTTTCAAAGGGCCCATTTAAATGGTCTTGTGCCCCTGAGATAACCCTCCCTCAAGGAGCCCTGGGGGAGCTAACTCTTTGCTCATATCTTTAAAAAAATTTAACCAACTGTTTTACAGGAATGGTAAACTTGTTAGGAGGACAGTTTGTCTCACCTCGGCTGGCAGAGTAACCCTGTAATGCAAGACAGCTTTCTCTTCTTACCTGTCTGAGACAAGATACATAAATGTTTTTTCAGTGAATAACCTGCCTAATAAGAGATACCCCAGTAAGGGGAGAGCTGTTAGAACTCTTTATAAATGCTCAATAAAGTTTTATTGAGGGGGAGAGTTGTCTTGGGTACCCAAGACCTTCTAAATGGAGCCAAAAACTTCAACATAGACTCATTGATGTAGAGGGAATGCAAGACAAAGAAAGAACTATCATGCCTACACAGAACTTTGTTTTGATGGAAGCTTGTCTATGTCAAGGGACATGTGCGATGACAATAGATTATTGACAGTTTAATTTCAGTTTAACAGTCATAAAAATCAGCATAAGAAGGTAAAAAACTGATTGTGTGATGACTCTCGAAAATGGAAAAAAACCCTTTTGAAATTTGTCTAGTTAGGAATGGAATATGAAATCCTGTTTTATTTTTGTCTGCAGTTCCAAGGGAAGGCAGTGTGCTCTGATTGCTGTTCAGAAGGCTTTGAAATCAAGGATCATTGGTGAATTTATCTCAGACAGGTGTTTTTCCTTTTCTGAGATAATTTTGTCGTTATTCCTTTTTTTATTTTAATTATTCCATTTCAGCATATTTGTCGTGCCTTTTTAATTGAAAAAAAACTCAACAGTCCAGCTTGTTCCCTCACTAGAGAGCTTGTGAGGGAAGTTTCTTGTAAACTGTTAGTCATGATTGTATATTCCATTTGGGACATCATCACCTCAACTCTTTCCTCTTATGGTGCCTTTTTCCTTTAAGAGTATAAGTTCTGCATGTCGTTAAATTGTCATGATATTATTGGTGAAATAAAATACTAAAAGATAATTGGGACATAGTGAAAATCAAACAGCATGTCTTCTATAGACTTCACCAGTGGTTGGGATATAAATTAGGGTTTCTCTTTTATCCATGCTATCATGATGCAAATTTTAAATATGTTTTCCATTTTTTTTTCGTTAGGAAAATAACTATTCTGGATTGTATTGAGAAATGTGTGAAAAGAGGTATATTTTAAATAGCTATAAATGTCAGGAATGAGTGTTTCTTGTATCTCCTATAAAACACAATTCTAATTATTAGGTAGACAAGGAAGAAAAACTTTTTAAGTTTGTTTTATTTTCTAAAGTAATGATTGATTGTCATACTCTCAATGCAAAAAACAGCATCTTGAGTTCCTACATTCAGTCAGACCCTTTTAATTCTTAGCCAGCATCTCCTTAATTAAGATCACGAGAATGAAGGAAATGATGACCAACCTAAGAAGCTCTGATTGTCAAACAAATTCTCCTTGTTGGTACCAAAGGAAATGTATAAAGAATGGCATTGAGAATATGGATAGTGATGTTAGGGTGTTGAGGGTTACAATATTTGTGAGTTACTTTTTGATAAAGTATGATGTATTATTACATGACTCGGGCAGTCAGAGGGCCAATAACTAAAATCAACCAATCGAAATGCTCTATTGCCGGTCAATATTCTCTCAGTATTGGACCAGGCACTGTCCCGAATGGTCCCTAATGATACCGCACTTGTGTCCCTTTGAACTTCAGTCGTATAATAAATCTCTCATTAACCAAGCTTGCTCGGGACCATACGGGAAGAATATCGGCCCTTGGTCTTTTTNTGACCACTGCGATACTAGTGCAGGTCTGATTTTCACTATTGCATAAATAGCGCTCTCTACTGTGAGGATCGTGCATCATACACATTGAGTTATATATTACCAAAGTACGATTTTTGCTTTCAAACACTTTACCGTATTTACCCGTGTATAATGCGCGCCCCATGTATAATGTGCACCCTTGTTTTTAACCTAATTTATCAGAAAAAAAAGTTTTTCATGGCAAAAAAGACAAGTTTAATATTCGTACAATTATTTATTAAGACAACAAGAGTAAGATATTTACTATATCGTTAACATCAGTATCTTTTGCTACTTAGTTATTGATGACATTATTGAAATCAAACTTTAGGACTTCAAGCGAGGCCTAGCTAATTTGACAATTCCATGGCCTGGTAAATATTATGAGTGAACAACAATCCTAGGGTTTCCTATTGTGTTTGACTTTGATGTGGTTTGTGCTTGGACTCATCATTCCTTATGACAGACTGTTGAGTGCCGATTAAGAGTTAAGACTGGATAACTTTTCCTTGATTAACAGTCTTTAGAATATCCCATTTTTTTTTCTCTTGTAGTGTGCAACAGCTCTTTCTGTCTGCTGTTTCATTGCCAATGAGGATGCTGATGTATGTATTCAATTTAGCATACTCTAAATGTGATAACTATTGTAACTTCTGACTATTTGCTCAATAGTGCCAATTGTATTTAAAAAAAATTAAATTACTGTCAAAGGTAGTTGGAATACAGTATGGATGTTAACCTTTCTAAGTGTCAAAAGTGCTTTAAGATGTTATTTGTTTTTTTGCAAGTAGAATTATAATGGTTGTCTTGTAAAGGTATCACAACTTAATAACCATATTCCTCCTAATTTAGGAGCTCTTTGAATGTCTTGGTACCCTGGAAGCGATATTTGACAACAAGAAGACTGTTAAAGCAGATGAAGTGGGACTTTACTCCGGCATTTTATTAGCTTGGGCTCTCCTTCTTTCTGTGACACCTCCTCCAGAAGCTTACACCCTCATTAACAAGTAAGGTTCCTATTTAAAATTCTTGACTCGTACACAAGAGTGGGTGTGCAGCTTGAAGTAGGGGCCCGAGTATTTCATGCCGTCCAACAAAGTTATACAGAAAAGTAAACAACTAGTCATCACCTCTCAGGGTAAAATGTTTTTGTGCCGCTGCCTGATAGGAAAACCCAAAAAACCCAATGGGAAAAATGGGAAGGTATTCCGCATCCAAATGCAGGTGCACCAACCTCTGGGGGTTAGAGGTAAAACAGCTTAAGTAAATGTACATGCAAGATAAAATTTAATGTAAAACTAGAAAAGTTTGAGAGCTGAGATGAATACATTACAAATGTCAAACCTTCAATATGCTTTAAAACAAAAGACTTGATTAATGCCGTAGCAGCTCACCTGCTAACATACCAATAGGAAAATATTTTCTTTCTTTGTCAATGCCACTTACAGTGTAGTTCTGCCAAATGTAAATACATATACCCAGTGCTTTTGAGCTGAGCAAAATTACTCTCAAATCAGCATTTATATTCATACTGTTCACTAAACATTTCCTTAGGTGCTGACAAGGAGAATTTGATTTATGATTAAGAGCTTCTATAGTTTGCAGTCATTTCCTTTGTTCTCATGACTGAAATGTTTGATTCAGTGTTGATGTGTTAAAGATGTGTGTGTTGAGGACCTACAGAACATCGCATGGTTGTGTTTATTAACTTAGGGTTTTTCAACCCATTACTTTTTGTCATCAGACATTTAAGAAGGATGAAATTTCTGCTAGAGACAAGTGACCTCAGTGTGCGCATTGCTGCTGGAGAGATCCTTGCTCTTATGTATGAGATGGGACGTGACATCAATGAAGACTTTGTTGGAGACAATAATGGCTTGTGTGACTTGTTGAGGGATCTTGCTACAGATGGAAACAAGCATAAAGCAAAGAAGGATCTCAGACAACAGCGATCAAGCTTTAGAGACATTTTAAGAACTGTTGAGGTACTTAGATCTTTGATCATTCTTTGTTTTCTTTTAACACTTGTTAAATCTAGCTGATTTACTGAAAAACTTCATGCATTTTTTCCCTCATAAATGGGAGCTTTTTAGAGGTTTTGTACTTCTAAAGAAAGATGTATCATCAAGGGCGGTCTTTGCTTAGCATTAATGGCCAATGAGAATACAGAGCTGTAACCTGCATGTCAAACAGAGTATTTCTCTTGGGATCAGTTGAAAAAATTTATGATAAGCAATCCTCTTGGTAAAAAAATGTGAGATAAAAAGAAAGGCCAGAATGATAAGGACAGGATAGTACTATGTGTAAATGCTTTTATTTAAGTATCGTTTTAAGCTATAGTTTTAGTCAAGAGCCTGTGTTACATTCCCATCCAGATATTGTATGTTGTTAGTTGAGAGGAATTCATATTCATTTAGGCTTGGCAAAAATTCAGAAGAAAGATGTGAATTACTTTCACTCTTAACCCTTTACTCTTTAACATCAGCATGCATATTCTGCATACTATTCACATACATTTCCTAAGATACTGACAAGGAGAATGTGCTTATCAATCAAGAGTTTCTGTAGTTGTTGATCATTTTCATTATTCTCATGACCTTAGTGCTTAATTCAGGGGTGATATTGTAAGGAGAAATTAGATGCTGGTCACTCTTAGGGGGTAATGGGTTAAATAAGGAAGTCTAAGCTCTTTAATAAGCCCTGTTGTTGGTAACTTAGCAGCCTCCTGTGGGCTCAGCAGTCAGAGCGCAAAAACATTTCAATTTTCAATAATCATTATTCTGTATTAGGATGGTGTTTCACCAGATGAGGTGGTGAAGTTTGGAACAGAAAGCGTTGCATTACACTCCTGGGTTCGAAGAAGACAATACTCTGCTATGAAGGAAATCCTGGGAACTGGAGTGACCATTCACTTACAGGTAATAACATGCAGAATTTTATTTCCTAAGCTCTATACATCATTTAAAAAGCTAGTATTTACTTCTACATGTATGTTTTTTCAACCATTTTCTGTGTTATCATTCATGCTAACCCTCATGGATATACTATCTGTTTTCTGATGCTGAATCTAAAGTTGCAGTCTGAGCATTTCAATGCTTGTAGGATTAAAAGTTTTGTCCAACTTCTCCCTTGATTCGGCTGTTATTTATTTTCAAAATTGGCAATTCCAGTTATTGTGGCTTTTGGCCCAATATTGTCTTTGTAGTGGGACTAAAACTATGGGAGACAAGAATACTATACAAAAAGGCCTATCTCGCATGTTCAGTGTTCAGTATGAAAGAGGACTGGAATAATCTTCATTTTGTAACTTGATGTTTCTCTAGCTCTGAAGAGTATATATTTGCCTTTGAAATTACAATTGACTAATCTGAATTAACAATCTCTTTTTCAAGGAGAATGATTTACTTCGAGACATATTTGACCTGGGACCGCAAGTGAAATCCTCAGAAGTTCATAAATGCTCACGTTATGAAAGAGTAAGTGTGAGATGCATTAAGTGCATTTTTTCAGAAACTTGAATTAAACAAGTAAAGTAGCTGTGTAATGTACATCTTTGACAGATGAATTGACAGTGTGCCCTGCCTCCTTTTTTCTAATTCCCTCCATTGACATCCAGAAATGAGTGTCTAAGTTGCAGAATGCAAATAACATGAAGAAAATGGGGTGTAAAGAACTATGGATATTACTATAACCATATTCTGTCACCATAGTTTATAATGTAAAAGTAAAACTGCTTCAAACTGTCCTTTGGTGATTCTCAGGTCACTGATCTGAGTTCAAAACTGATGAATCCTTTTTTTTTTCCACTGCAGCAACTTTACAATAATGCTGTCTCCAAGGCAAGAACTTTGGTTCGTGGAAAGAACAGGGATAAGAGGAATGTATCCATGATGTACTAGTCATATGGCAGTCTTAACTTACACTTTAATTAATGCTAGTTAATAACCTAACACACCAAAGTTATTATATTGTACTTAGCTCATTGTTGTTCATGATGAGTTTGCAGAACAAGCAGTGGTGTTGTAGCCCTGGAGAGATTTCAATTTTTCCTTGAAATGATTCCTAACTTCACATGTGGCAGTGGTACATTCAATTCATTTACTAGGTCACAAGATTTTGAAACTATAGTCACAACATATATATTGCATGGGATAGTACAAGCCCTCGTATCTGTAGTAGTTGTAGATACAAGTTTGATATGTAGAGGAGTTGTTGATATGGAGATTGTTTTTAATTATTGGCTGCAGGTGTTGCCAAAAATGTGTTTATTGACCTGGCTGACTTAATATGAAAACTTAATAGGCCATACACTTTATTGTGAGACTATGTAGTGAAGAAATGGTTAAAGAAAAACACTCCTCAACTGATGGGCAAATGGTTTGTGTAGGTTTCCCTTCTCTCTGGGTCATTTATGTTACTGTGTTGGAGCCAAGTCAGCTAACAGATTAGACTTAGATTGAATGGTTTGTGTAGGTTTCCCTACTCTCTGGGTCATTTATGTTACTGTGTTGGAGCCAAGTGAGCTAACAGATTAGACTTAGATTGAATATGTTATTGATAATATATTTTACATATCCTTTCAAAGCTGTAATGCATGCGAAATTCTAAAAGCAATTTTTTTAATATTTAATGACAAATCAAGATATTGTCTGAAAAGTATGACATAACTGAAGAACAGCAATTTATTAATTTATATTAATAATCATGAAATTTCCATACTGATCTCAATCTCCTAAAGGTACTGAGAAGGAGAAGTTGTTTGACAGTTGAAAGCTTCTTTAGTTGGTTATTCATTTCCATTTTCTTGTGACCTTGATGCATGATTCTGGGGTGAATTGTAACAAGAAATTAGATCCTAGTTACTCCTAAGGTGAGTGGGAGTAAAGGAGAAGGTTGCCCAACTATATGATTTAAATCTCTGCCATTTAAGAGAATGCTTTTAACTAAATCACTGATGGCATTTTAAGATTCAAAAAGGTTACTCAACCTTTCAAAATTGTCTACATTTGTATTGAAAATTTAGGAATGGTTGATGCCATTTTTATTGTTACTCAAGAACATTATTGTTTATGGGCTCGTTGGTTTCTTTTTCTGTCTTTTGTTGATCAGTTGAACAATTAGGAGCTACACAAAAAAGCCTTCTGGACTTAATGATGATTGATTGCAATCTAGGGAGCTACAGCTGTATTAGAACTCTTTGTGTTAGGATTTTGTGAGTGTGATCTGTAGATAAATCAATTGTTTTGTAAATGGTGGTATCCCAAAGTTTAATTTATTAGCACATTTGAATTGACTCTCAGGAATCTCAAAATGTGATAAGTGTTAAATTTTGATGCATGCATTTAGTGGCAAAGGTGAATATGTTATGGTTTCTGTGGCAAACTTCCTTGAAAGGATTGTGGCTTTTTTCATAGGATGTAGTACAATGATAATTAAGTATTATCATCTGTGTCACAATGTAGTGGCAGTGACTGCTTTGTGAGACAAAGGTTAACATTAAGTAAACACAAGTTAAGAATGTAGTTGTTGTAACTAAGAGAGGCCATAAATTACATGTTTACGTATTTAGCCTTTAAAGAATGCTTGGATAATTGTTTTTTTGGCTGCCGGGGAATGTACTAGGTCGTACTTTTTTCTCAAACTCAGAAGTTTTACCCCTTTGATTAGGGAAATAATGTAGTTTTAATAATGCTGATGCAGAATATATGGGAAATTGTGAGTAGGTTAGTCACTATTCCTTTCTGCAATAGCTCATAAAGGTAACAATTTAGTTTTTGAATGCGTAATATCACATAAACTAGCTGGTCTAGGTATGCCATGCACTGCAAATGTTTCAAATTACTTAGAAGGAAAGTTCTATTTTACGTGGTGGTATATTGTAAATATTGAACCAAATGCTTTAATAAAGGTCAAGTGTTAAAAGCTCACTGGGTGCCTTTTGATGCAAGTTACACGGTTTTACAACCATAAAGATGCTGCAAATATATTTGCTACTCCTTGAGGGAATACTCGTCCACCACTGGAAATTTCCCAGCTATTCATTGGAGGAGGAGGGGGGGGGGTACTTAGGTACTGGCATTGATCCCATGCCGCAATGACCCGACTACGGGTGTTCAACACGGTGCTATCGCTAGTCTCACGCATTTTTTTCATGCAAGTATTTAATTTGTTAAAAACAAAAACAAAAAGAGAAAGGAATAAATAATTTAAAACTGTATCCTTTGAGAATTTGTAAAGGCAATAAAAGATTTCGGGTCACGCCCACTCGACGAAATTATGTCATCTGTCAGGGGTGTATTCGAGACTTTCCTCAGGGCACCCATGTCAATACTACCTCCCTGCCTCTAGCTCTTTTCGAATCGTGTAGAACAGTTGGCAAAAGGTAGCATGCATGAGCATGTTAATGTTTAGTATTTAAGGAAAGACAGGGACGGGGAGAAAAGGGATAGAGGAAAAAAATTAAATCTAGCCAAGTACCTTTGGACATTTTGCCCCGTGATGAACGCCGGGTAGGCGGGTTTCTGTCGACAGAGAAACTGTGATGTCCACAAAATAGCTGATTCTTCAACTTTAAGTAAAAAACTGTGCGAAGAAGCTGTCAGAAATAGTCTTGAATAAAGGAACAGAACAGAACATTGCTCTGGCTTCTTCACTTTTAATTCATAGCATTTGCAGCAGTACCGACTTGAGCTCCTGCACTAACCAATCTGATTCTCTCGATGTTGTTCCCAACTCCTTTAGTAGAAAGGAAGAAAGAGAAATTTTTGAACGTCAAGGCTATTACTCTTTGACCTCGGGAGAAATAGTTCGTTTTGTAGCTCATTTTGTTTTAGCGACGAACAAAAGAGAGAATAGAAACTTAGACTTTTGACTTTCCCCGAATGTGATGTGCCTTCGTGACACCCACTATGTTTAATAAGTAAATATTCAAGTCCTTCCCGATTATAATGTCAAATATGACAAGTAAATTTTCATTTGGCAAGTGATAATTCCCATGCGATATTGAAAGCGAGCAGTTATATGCATGAGAAGAGTCATTATTGTTAAGACAAGGGAATAAACTGGTTCCTCTCGACTTTGTTCAAAATTTGACAAAGGAAAAGGAACAAAAAGTGAAATTAACTTAACAAAGCGTGACATTTGGGATAGTTGTTCTAATTACAGGGATCAACTCTGAACTTATCTGTCGTTGCACCTTTTGTTCAAGGTTCAATTTAAAATCGGGATCTAATTTAAAAGGATAAAAGACATTTCACGATGACAAAAAGTTTTCGATGAAAAGGCTGCAAACGGCACTAATCAAAACACATCTGACTTGAAATGTCAATCATAAATTATGCATAGCTCAATTTAATTTCTCCTTGGCGACGGGTATATGCCCTAGATCCATCTAAGTTCTTGGGCAAACATAACTGAGAATGGCTGCGGCTCAATCGGTAGTCGCATTAACTTAAAATATGGAATGAAAGGCGAAGGGAATGCTAGTTTCATATCGAAAACATGTTGTACCGTCAAGACCGACGAAAATCCGATTGACCTGACCCTTTTACCAAACGAAAAATGGCGGCATCCCGCGAGCGTAGTGAGGTAAGAATCAAATTTGACGTTACATTTTCTCTGGTATTGTGGAACGTATTTTTCTACTGTCCATTTTTGTAAAGGTAATTCTACGGAAAAACTTCGGGGATCTCTTTGATTCATGGAAACGGAAGCTCATTACAGCTAACGGAGTTGCGCCACAACAATACACCTAAGAGATCGAATTGTTAATAAAAACAATCGAAAATGATATAGTGGGGTTGTCTTGTAACTAGCTTGAAAGCACTTTTTGGATACAATATTTTTACTGAAAAGAGAAGAGGGACACCGGTTTGTTTGATTACAAAATTTGTTCAGAAGGAAGGTGAGAGTGTGATCGGCGAGTCAGAACCAGTAGTGGTTCATTTGGCAGCCACAAAATATAAACATTCAATTAAAGCTCCTACATTAACTGTAATTTCCAGCCTGTTCGGCAACGATGATAACTTGTCATTTTAACGTAAGAAGTGTTAAGAATTAGCGCCTGATGATGAAGTACACTGTCAGTGATCTGTTAAAATGAATACGACTTTGAATGATGAAAACACATGGTAAGTACATCATCGATCATGCCTTGGCGTTTTCTCTTGGTAATTTTTTTTTTGTCTTTAATTGTACATGTTACAATATTATTACCTGAAAACTTCCTTTTATAAAAATAAAATTGTGGGTAATTTTTGGATTTATGATAAATTTGCATTTATTCCTTTTCTCTGTTATTGTCGATTTTTTTTAAGGAGGCTGAGACAGGGCTTATGTAGGGATTAGGAAAGATAACGACATAATTGTTATGCTGGACCAATCATAATTTGTCTTTCAGGGCCTAGTTGTTAAAAGGGCGATTAACACTATCCAACAGATAAACATTATCCAGCACATATGTCACACAAAAAACACTATGCTATCCACCAGATTGAAATTTATCCAGTGCATAGCATTACCCACCTATGGAACTACTTGGGCCTATTTCTTTTTTCATCTTTTTCTTTGGCTTAGAGGTGAACATGAAACTGATAAACTAGTTCTGGAAAATAACAGTCTCCTCATTTGTAATACTGTTTAATTGTGAAATATTCTATAGATGCAAGTGAGCTCATACTTATCTGGTAGTTTGCTTCTTTGAGCTCTTAGAGAGTAATTCCTGAAAAAAAAAATCATGAAAAACAAATTTTTGTCACTATTTTATAAAGCAATAACTGAATGAGGGGACAGTAAAATATTGTAATTTTCCAGGTCTCCTGTGCAGACCAGTTTTTTGGCCCAGTCTTTTGCATCAGCAAATAGGTGGTGTGCTCGGCACCAGCTTAAAAAGTTTAACCCTCCACACCCTGAGACAACATCAGTATGCTTATTCTCCTTACTGTTCTCTATACAATTCCTAAGCTGCTGATAAGGAGAATTTGTTTAACAATCAAGAGCTTCTCCAGCTGTGATCATTTCTTTTATTCTTGTGATCCTAATGTGTGATTCAGGGGTGATATTGTAAGGAAAAATTTAATGCTAGTCACTTTTAGGGGTCAAAGGGTTAAATCCCCCTCCCCCCCTCAAAGAAAAAAAAGAAAAAAAGAAACCATCAAGCTATATTTTACAGTCTCTGAATTAACCATACATATATTTTCTCAAGTTTGGTTGTTTTATATAAATTAATTATGCTACAGATTTCGAATATCTAATAATTTTTCTTTCAATTTTTTTTTCAATGGAACTAACTAAATTTATCAAGGGAAAGATATTGTTTGTCAAAGTAATACATGTAGTTGTATGACAATTTTGTTTTTTAGTTGTATTAAAATATGAAATGTTTACTAAGTTGAATTAAATTTTAAAGTTACCAGAGAAAAATTTGGTTTAATTTTATAGAAAACAACTAAACTACAGGATGTGTGCATGCAAACATAAAGTGTTGAGTGGAAATTAAACACAAATACTTTGAAGCTTGGTGGAGTATTTAATTATTTTGTTTTTGTTAGGTCATGCAAGATGCATAAAATTATTTTTTTGATTAATCTTACATTGTCTTATTAATCCAAACATGATGCATAAAATATGAAAGTTTTGATGCTATTACCAGTAGTTAATATGGAGTATGTGTTCCTGATCTTAAATGAGTAATTAGGATAGTTATACTACAGTCATCATCTTTCTTGAACTTTGAAGATCACTGAGTAGCTACACCTTTGGCTCAATGAGTATACACATCAGTGTGCAGCATGGGTATATGAAACATGCTAGCGCTACAATTTAACAACTGTGTTGTCACAGTACATGATTTAAGTATTAAGCTTTTAGTTTGGAAAACAAATGATATGTCTTATGTATATGTCTTGGGCTTAATTCAGTCATAGTTTTCTTTTCAGTCAAAGGACCTCTCAGATACTCTTTTCAACATCAACCATCGGGACATCTTTGGTCACCTTCCGCCCTTGAGTGCACCTCAGGTAAACAAGCTGTATTGAGATCCTTTAGCCTCTTAATTGACTCAGTCTGTATCTGCAGATGATCATTTTTTTTGGTGGGATATTTGTGCTCATGAAACTGATTCAAAAGTTTTTTCATGAAACTTAATATTTTTCAGTATGACCAATCTCAATATTAAGTTAAAAGTGTAATATAAGCTCATGTAAAAGTGTACTTAATGTTTTTATTTTACTTTGTTTAAGTTTGATAAAATTTTTTTCTTGGATGACTTAATAATGAGTGATGGATGTAGATATCCTTGGAACACTTAAAGATAATACTATTCCTCTATCAAGTCCTTTGACATTTGTTGGATGGATAAAACTCAAGATTTTATTCAGGGTGTAGTGTGGGAGTTCCCGGGAACTGGTAGTAACTTGAATTTAGTGTGAACATGAAGAAAAATGGAATACTGACTGAGATTATCTGTAAATTGTGGAAGACTTGACAAGGTGTAGCTGGGCTTGAAGCTACACATGACTCACTTGAAATAGTGCGAGATGATTGAAGCTGCGTGTATCAGTCAGTCCAAGTTAGTGTTGAAAGACTGAAATGGTGTGGCTTTGGATTGATACCCAGGGGATATCATAAAACTTGGGGGACTGAAAAGTAACACCAACAGTATGCTTTGTCATATATGGAATGCAGTAATGTATGATAATTAATAGGCCATTTCACAGTTGTGTACTTAGTTGCCAAGACTTTGATTTGGAGTGAGGCTTAAGGTGACCTTGTTGTGATAGAGACCAGTATCTACTTAGCATGATAACAAACTATTAAGTAATTTACATTTGAAAAGCAGCAACATCTGTATTGTAACAAGGTCACCCTTAGCCTCACTCCTGTTCAAAGGCTTGGCAGACAAGCACACAACTCTAAAATTGAATATTTATTTCATAGACAGACTAGAATATATCTGTCTGGTTTCGTTCGTAGTTACTAAAACAAGGAATGACTTACAATGACATACAATGATCTACAATGAGCTACAATGATCTACAATGGGCTACAATGATCTGCAATGACCTACAATGACCTACAATGAGCTACAATGATCTACAATGATCTACTGTAAGATCCCTGTAATTAAGTAAATGAAGATTTTAGAAAAAGGGCAAAAAAAAAAAAAAAACAGGAGACATGTGTGCATTAACGTGTTTGCTTTTTGTCTACTGAATAACAGGCCAAATGATAACAGAATTTCTAGCTTGGAGATAAATTTATGGTTTATTATAATGAGACATGTATAATGACAATAATGATAAAAAAAAAATGCGAAAAATCTTTGGCTTAAGATGTCTTTGAGGGTCTTATATAGCAAGCCTTCCATAATTTCACACTACCATGAGGCTATGAGTCATATTTGGCCTCTCAACACTTTTTACTCATTGATCCCTTATTAAGGTCATGTATCACAGCGCTGTGAGACTATGAGACTATAATGCTGATGTCCGATCTCAGCCTTATCGTTGTAACTAGACATGTTTGTTGTTCAGAGTGCCTAAGACTTTCGACTTTCGAGACGTATTTGGCCTGTCTACACCTTTAACTCATTGATATTTTTAGACAGCAAAACAAACAAGGTCATCACACCATCATGGGGCTAGAAAGTCAGGCAAGTCATGCCACAATTTTTTGTAACACTCATAAATAGCTCATTGTAGGTCATTGTAAATCACAGTGGATCATTTTAGGTCATTCCTTGTTCCCACGGTAACTCATTGTAGCTCATTGTAGGTAAGGTAAGGTAAGGTAAGGTAAACTTTATTTGATGGGTAGGTTGGGATTGTTTGGCAGCCGAAGGGCTGATGTGGACCTACTATACACAATCAAAATTTGACAAACACAAAAGATATTAAGAAAAGAATAAAAGCTATGTACAGGGAGAAAAACAATATATATACACGCAAAAAACTGAGATTTACAAGAGCCTAATTGAAATAATAATATAATACCAGAAAATACAATGCTTAAAAGTATATAAAATCATCTTTTTTTGTGGTGATCAAGGTCGCTTCTTTGCTAAAAGAATACTCCGCAATGTCCCTGGTGTGTTTCTTTAATATCTGCTCACAGGAATTAAAATTTTCAGGCACTTAAACTAGTCTATTTAAAAAATTCCAGATTACAGGGCCTCTCTACTGTAAAGTGTTTCTTCCATTATCAGATTTAAACCTAATGATAGTAAATTGATTAGGAAAGCGAGTTGACCTCATTGTTGACCTCATTGTGGGTCATTGTAGCTCATTGTAGGCCATTGTCGGTCATTGTGGATCATTGTAGGTCATTCCTTGTTTTAGTAACTACGTTGTTTGGTTCAATGTCAAACCAACTGTTGGTTAAGTAAATTTATAAATTTTAACCAACTTTTAATTTCACAAGGTTTTGGGTAGTTTGTGTGTGTTTGAGCAGTTCTTCTTCTGGCACATCAAAATCACTTGTGGGCATTAGACAATCTATTTAAGACACCTTACATAACATGTTTTCACAAGCTTGTGTTTGGCCCAAAATCATAGTTAGCTAGAAATGTAGTGGGATGGCTGTTGGTGAGGAGTTTAATATAATCCTCTCTGCAGCCTGCCTATAGTGAAAGACCAAAAATTGTGGAGTATGGAGCATATACTAAAGCATCACCTACCAAAGAAAAAGGTCATTACCGACATACTAGGTGAGTGTATGCTGCTACGTACTGTAAAATGATTATAATGTTTGTTAGATGTTCGTTTTAGCATTCAATAACTCATATTAACAAAAACCAGCAAAGTCTGTAATCAAGCCAAGTGGCTCATCCATCCGGAGCTTGATTATACTAGTCCGTTGCAAGACCACCCCCCCCCCCTCCCAGTGTTTCATCAGACTTCCCTGACAATTTGGAGAGTTCCAAAATAGCCTTGGCAGGATGGGGGAGGAGGCTGAAAAAAGAGGCGGGATGTAGGATATGAGAAATTTTAAAAGTGGGAAAATTATAGGATGAAGATGGGAAGGTGAGACCAGGATATGCTCTGTTTTGAAGGTGGGAAAGGATATAGGATGGATGTAGGTGGGACCATAATTTAGTTAGCTCAAATTACAGGTCACACAACCTCAAGAGATATTACATAATATTTACTTGCTTTCAAAACTTAGGTGCAATCAAACAGCGGTTCTCTCCTCGTGTACCGGTTCACAAGAACCGATACAAAAGACCAAACAATACACAACAGCTAACCAACGACTCCTAAACAAAGAAAGAGCAATGGTAATTCCCGTGTGAACCGGTACACCAGGACAGAACCCAAACAGCTCACACTGTTATTTGTTGCCTTATATAGTATTTGGTCATGGGTGTAATTAAAGCTTTGACAGTGCACAGATGTGATATTACAAAAAAACAAAATGTCATATCAATTGAGTCTCTTTAATTATAATTATGTTATGAAATATTTTCATATTAAACATTTTTTACTGGTTTTGCTTCTAAATTTGTGTAGTGATGCAGTTGCGAATAACTACACACCATCTGCTCAGACTTTGACAACAAAGCTGATCTATAAGAGACAAGGCAAGTCATCTGGCTCAGGTTAGTGGAGGGACATCTAACTGATTGCATCAATTCAACAAAGGCTCTTATTTTCAGACAAAAGGTGTTTGTTTGAAGAGGGTTAAGCCGATAACAAAATAATTCATTGGTTTAAGTTTTTCAATATCTACGAGACAGTACTAATGACATGTGACCCATTGAGAATGTATGGACTTCTCATTTGTGTTTGTAGTCTTGAACTGTGTTTGCCACAAACCAAAGTTGATAGTCCCTTTTACAGTTGTGGGCTTGGTGGCCAAGCCTTTGAACAGGAGTGAGGCTAAGGGTGACCCTGTTGTGATAGAGACCTGTATCTAGTTAGCATGATAACAAAGTAATTTGCATTTGAAAAGCAGCGACATCTCTATCATAACAAGGTCACCCTAAGCCTCACTCCTGTTCAAAGGCTTGGCCACCAAGCCCACACCTGTAAAAAGGACTATTCAATTACCTTCAGACTTGACCAAGTAATTATACACTTGGATATATGAAGTCTGCAATCTTTTTTATATTTATTTTATTTTTCAGCTTCTGGTTTAATTGTGTCATCCTTTGCTTTTTAGCTTGTCAAACACTTCTATCATGAGCTTTGGGGTGGTTAGATTAAGAGACTACTCCCTGTGTATTTGAGGTTAAATAAATTATCCTCCCTTATCTTTTCAATCTATTTTACTCAGGTAATCACATGTATTCCTTTCAATCATAGTTTCAAAGAGGACAAATTTGAGGAAACAGCATAATTCACTTAGAAATGTGATTGAAGGAAAACTGCAACCTCTTCATGGAGGAACATCTTCATCACCTGCTTCAGGATACTATGTGGGAAAAGGGGCATCACGGGCAGGGCTTAACAAAGGGCACACAAGTCCACCTCACATGGGAGCACCCACTAAATCATATCCTCAGAATGAACAGGAAACTTCTGAAGGAGAGAGACAAATTGGTGTTGATGCAAGTCCTCTTTCAAGCTCGAAGCCTCCAAGAGTTAAAAGACCTCAGTCTGTAGAAGAGTTTCTGAAGTCAAATAGCCATTCCTCTAGTCCTTATATGCATAATGATGACAAATCCATATCCGAGTCTCCAGACTTCAAAAAGACAAAACTTGCATGGGGAGGGCAAAGCAGGATGAGTGAACCAAGCCGAAATGAAACCTATGAAATGACCTCAAATGGTCATACAGACTCAGTGCTCCAAGATTTTGTAGAAAGCTGCACCCTAACAACTTCACAAAATGTCTCTTCTATGTATTCATTCAGAGAGCATGATGATGAGACACTGTCTGTTTTAAATATCTGTTTCCCTCCATCAACCACACCTACTTTTGGTCTATCACGTTCTGTCTCACCACTTGAATCAGAGCGTGAGAGATACAACCGTCTTGTGGAGAAGGCAATTCATACCAGCATGGTAGCACCATTATCCAGGGAATGGAAGAGGAAGACCCATGATTTTCTTCCAAAATCCTTGAAACAGGATTTTAAAGAAACGCTTGATGAACTTGACAAGGTATTTGTCATAATTCTTTTAATTTTTTTAGCCTTATGCACATGCAAGCAAAAGGTATAATAATTTCTGTAATGATATTTTTTTGGGAAAGCTAAATACCAAGGTAGTTTTCAGTAGGGCCCTCAAGTTGTCATTTCTCATGATCATGCAGTGTGGAGTGCTTGTAGTAAAATTTTTCTACAGTTTGGATTTGATCTCCATATCATTCCACATAATTTTCTGATCTTTCATGTACCTCGACTTTTCAATCCTGAATGATCAAATTACAAGTTCATCTATGCTTAAGAAAGATGGTCACACATGCAGAGGATAGATTAAAATGCTCCATAACCCAGTATCTTCCTTACTGAACTTGTATGAAATTTATTGATCTTCCAGTCTCATTGAGTGGGTGGAGGGTGTGGCCAATTATTGTAGGAGAAAAAAAGAGTTCCTCAATCATCTATTGTAGCGTAATAGACACTCAATGCACTTAAAATAAATGACAAAAGTACTTAAGACACTTAACTGATGAGACCACCATCCTGACTAATCATTTTCCTCTTTAACCCCCTCACCGCATTCCCCCTTTTAATGTTGTTGTATAGCAAAGCAAATCTTGGAGGTAAAAAATACCCAGATGTTTTGGGAGTAGAGGGTGGGGAGTTGTCTGAGCAGGGGATAAGTGTAATTTGTCCAATATTTGTAAAAACAGGGGAGTGCTGCAACTTTTTTATCAAGATGATTGTCGCTGCTGATCTGACTTTGGAGATCAGGAATATCTGTTGCTTTTTGTCAGTGATGATGCTGCAGTATGATGGTAACTTTCTGACAGAGACAGCCATATTTTATGTAACTACTTATAAAAACTTTTCCAGGAAATGGAGACAGAATATACAAGAAGTGTCAAGCAGAGTATCCTGGATTATGTGCTTTTGGATTCAAAAGAACAAAGGAGACTTGGACTTCATATGCCGCAACCAGTAAGACCAATCTTACACAATCTTGTCATAACATTTTTTAGTCATATATAGTGTACCTATTGTGGTGTAGTTATAAGACAAACAAATAGACAAATGTTTTCTTGTCTCTATCTTTTAGGTCATATATCCAGCTGGAAGAGACAGTTTTCCTTGGCATGTTTCAGTTATCACCTCACGGGAATACCTTGAGAATAATCTTTTTGTAACCCATGTTGTTCTGAAAGAATTGCTATTCCTTTGGGAATCACAGTAAGTTGAATGCTTTTAAGTTGAATGTAAGGAGAACAGGTGCCACAGTATTTTTTCTTTTATAAAACATCTCTGCTACTTTAGTGTAGTTAATTTGTAAAATATTTTCTTCAAAGAAACATGTAACAAGATACTTTTTAAGGTTTTCTCCATAATTAAAAGGTGCCATAACAATGGTGCTTCTGAGCAACTGTGCACCCATCCCTCCCATAATCCAACAACAGTCCACTGATTACAACTTAGGGTCAATGTTGGGTTAGGGGAGGGGTGGCTGTGCAGTTGCTCAGCTACTGACATTGATCAGGTGCTTCCCAGAAAAATTTCCCATAATAACTGCATGAGGAGATTTCTGCCAATTAACTGTTAGAAGTTTTTTTGGTCATTGTGGCTACCAGTGGGTCATCCTGGAAACTAGCATAAATTAAGTATCATACAATGGAATCTGTTTTGTGGTACCATATTGAGCATTCACCATGCATGAAGTGGTTGGTTGTCAAAGTCTGGAATTTCTTTCCCCTTAATCACTGTAATTTTCACCTCCATTTAGGGGTCTCCTCTATAATACGGTTGCAGTCACCCTAAACTTAGTCCTAAATGACTTTGAAGAGGAGGCTGTGTTAGAACTCTTTAGGTCATCTCTGAAATTTTCAGATGTGTTTGGAAATCTTAAGGTTTCTTACAATACGTTTGGGTTGTCACCCAA